CCAGAAGAGTTTAGGACGGTGCCTCATGCCTTCCTCTCCACTTCTCTAAATCTTATCCATTATTCAAAGCCCAGATTAAATTCTAGCTTCTCTGCAAAGCCTACTCTGCTAGATTTCAACCTAAAGTAAGCTGAACTCCTTATCGTTCATCTAGCATAAAATAAACTTCTCTTAAGTTCTACGTATAGAGGGATAAAAATTGGTCTTTTTAAAAATAGCTTGTGAATTCCTCAAAGTCTGAGACTATCTTTCACTTTCTTACAAAGCTGAGAGCATCTGATATTTGGAAATAAGCAAGAACTCTAACACTTTTTGAGACTTTATTTATTTATTTAGAGTCAGAGTCTGTACTGTCACCCAGGCTGGAGTGCGATGGTGCGATCTCAGATCACTGCAATGTCTGCCTCCTGGGTTCAAGTGATTTTCATGGCTCAGCCTCCCTAGTAGCTAGGGTTGCAGACATGTGCCACCATGTGCAGTTAATTTTTGTAGTTTTAATGGAGACGGAGTTTCACCATGTGGGCCAGGCTGGTCTCGAACTCCTGGCCTCAGGTAATATATCCACCTTGACCTCACAAACTCCTAGGATTATAGGTGTGAGCCACCACACCTGGCAGAGACTTTTATTATTATTTTTTTTGTTTTTAGTTACAGGATCTTGCTTTGTCACCTAGGCTGAGGTGCAGTGGCACCTCATAGCTTACTATAACCTCAAGCACCTAGGCTCGAGCAATCCTTCCATTGCAGTCTCATGAGTAGCTAGGACTATAGGCATGCACCATTGCACCAGGCTAATTTATTTTTATTTTTATTTTTTTCGTGTAGAGATGGAGTCTTGTCATGTCGCTCTGGTTGGTCTTGAACTCCTGGCCTCGAGCAAACCTCTCACCTCAGCCTCCCAAAGCACTGAGATTATAGGTCTGAGCCACCATGCCCGGCTGAGGCTTTTTTACATAACACAGTTATGATGAGTCTAAAGATGCTAAGCAAATTAGGAGTAGGTTGTTAGTGAAATGTAACTAATATCTCAAATATATCTAAAACTCACTGTATACAGTAGCTCCTCTGGAGTGACAGGACTGGTGAAGATGGTGCGCAGGCATCGGAGGCAAGCTTCAATAAACTTCAGGTCTGGGGACAGTAGTCCTATTAACAGAAACTAAATTTAAGACTAATCCTCTCAACCAGTATTTAAAGTACTGTAAACTGATTCTTATCCTTACTTGAGCAAAAAATGGCTTCCCTACATACCTTGCAATAAGGCAGGGATAATATGGCAGTCCAGTAGAGACTTGACATTGTTTTCAGTACCCATAGCAAGACTTCCCAACACCACTGCACATTCAGTTTTCAGCTCTGTGGTTGAGGTTTCTTGCTGAAGCAAGTACAACAATCTAAAAAGATGGAACTTAATAAACAAAGAGACTAAAAAATTTAAACAAGACTCAGTGTGACCAAAAAAGGCTGTGCAGTCCACATACTAAAAATATGGTTGGTTGAATTTATATGAATTCAGTGGTCATTTGTTTATCTCATCTGCTAATTAAAGAAAGAAACATCTGGAAAAAAAATCTAGAAGAGGTTTTGAAAAAAAGAACTGTCATATTCTCAGAGTTTATCAAAAATGTACATCTGAAAGTTGTCCACAAGTTGTCTCTGTAGAAACAGCATGTAGTCCACGTCATCTACCACTTCCTGTTGGGTCTCCAAAATATGAAGACTCTCAATCAAATGCCATGTGCTGCCAGATCTTAAATTCAAACTAGAAATGCTACTGCTCTGAATCCAGAGCAGAAGTACAGAGTTTGTAGAGATAGAGCCTAGAGGGAATCTTTAAAGCCCTTGTGCAGCTCCTCAAGTAAGGGAGTTTCTTCTTTCTTCAGTTTTCTCATTTGGAAAATGAAGAGATCCTCTCATTTCCACTCCAGCCTGGCTTGACAAACAAATATTCCCCAAACCCTAACCTTCTTCCACTTATGGCCATCTACCTTATATTCTAAGGTAGGACCCTTATGCTCCCTAAAGCACTATACGCCAAACATAAATCCCCTAAGAAAGGCTGCTGACAGCTTTACAGTTACTAAAGTATACATTTGGGGTTGGTGACATTAAAGACATTTAAACCATTAATTCTTCATCAAGACTAGAAAATAAGGAGAAAAAACCAAAACAATAAAAAATTCTGAATGAAAATGTAATAGCAACTGCACAGAAAACTTAGCTCTGAGGAGCAAAAGTAAAGAGGAAGTTATATAATTGTCATCGCCTGCCCAAAGGAAACTTACTAGGTCATCAAAAGAAGAAATCAAACTCCCTAAACTTCCTATGTTAACTTAAAAAACAGCAAATTGTAGAAATCAGAAGTTAAAATGAAACTGGATTAAAAACTAAGCAGAGTTTTTTTCTTTAAATTCAAAAGGGTCTTATAAATTACTTACTCACACACAAAACTGCCAATGCGCTACGGAAATGGAGAAGAAAGTATCAGGCTGTTGTACCTTTCTTATGTACCTTTTACTGTAGGTCAAAGGTCTTTCTGAATTTTCAAAAAGTATTAACACAGTCATTTTTTATTCCATTCTCTGTTACTTTATAATTTTTCTTCCTTAGAGATGGTTTATATGCTTATTTTTTAAAATAAGATCTATTTTAAGAATTGGATAGACAATTCAGGAAAAAATGGGTTCTATGATTGATAGTAAGAAATACATTAGAAACTAGTAAGAATGACAAGAAAGGGGTGAGACAGCAAACATACCTTGGAACAGCTCCTAAAACAATGAGATTGGCTTTCTGCTTGTTGTTTCCAATTACAGCATTTTTCATGTCTCTGAATTCAGGGGGAAAAAAAAAAAGTATGTTGAGACAGCACTGAAAAAAATCAAAGATCATTCTACTTTACTATGCAATATCTTAGACTGGCAAATATCTTAGATTTGACAAAGTGAAAGCACTGACCTTTTTTCACCTAAAGTACTAAGGAAGTGATAGAGATAGGTGTGGAGTGAATGTGGGGGTCGTAAAACAGACAAGTATTGTAGAAAGTGAGAGATATCCTGAGTACTAATGAAAGACTTCCACGACTGAATTGAGTTCTTCCAAAAAGGATACCTACCAATCCTTAGATATAAAGCAATATAGTGCACCTTCACACTCAGCTCTAGGAATAGGGAGTGAGCTAAACAAACAAACAACAACAGCAACAACAAAAAACCGGTCCACAGAACATATCTCCTTGTTTCAAGGATCACACTTTGTTCACTTTTTTCCTTTTTCTTTTTTGACTTCTTTATATACTATTTCTTATAATTCCATTTTATCTGCTTTATTGTCTTACTAACTGTACTTCTTTGGGTTTTGTTGTTTTCCAATGCATCTTTTAATTTATTGCAGTTAGTCTGCAAGTGATATTAGCCCACTACACATATATTTTAAGAGCCTTGCATATGTATTTCCATTTCCCCATCATTTTTTGGATTGTTGTTACACATTTTTAAATTGGTTAGAAACAACACAACACATTGTTACTATTTTTGTTTCAGCAGCAAATTATTTCTTAAGAAGATTAAAAAATAACAAAAAATCTTTTACATCTCAGATATTCACAGTATTTTTTATTCTAGCTACCTAGAGCTCTATACTTCACCAGGAGCAAAACTCTATTCCACAATAAGAGAACCTCTACCACTGATCTATTTGTGATTCGTTCAAAATTTGTGGTTGGTTCAAAAGAAAATGCAGAGAAAAAATAAATAGCTCAAAATAAACCCAGTACTACTAATAAAATGTTTAAAAAATACTTCCCCAGCCAGGACATGGTGACTCACACCTGTAATCCCAGCTCTTTGGGAGGCCTAAGCAGGTGTACTGTTTGAACTCAGTAGTTCGGGACAGACTGAACAACATGGTGAAACTCCGTCTCTACAAATAATACAAAAATTAGCCAGGTATGGTGGCACACACTTGTAGTCCCGGCTACTTGCGGGGCTAAGGTAGGAGAATCACTTCAGCCCAGGAGGTGGAGGTTGCAGTGAGCCAAGATCATGCCATTGCACTCCAGTCTGGGCGACTGAGCAAGGCTCTGTCTCAAAAAAAAAAAAAAAAAAAAAATCAACAAATAAATGTTATAGTCAGCGTACATTTCCAACACTAACACCAATCCTATTTAGTGGAATAAAAAAACCTGGTAACAATTAACTCTTCCCTTCAACTGCCTTTTTTTGATTATCGCAGAAAAATAGTGCAATAACTAGTGATGTGCTAAAAGCAGATGTTCCCCACAAGTTTCTGAATGGCACTTTTACAAGTCAAGCCAAACACTGAGAATGCCTGTTCTTTCTTCCATTAGCTCAGTGCCTGAGGGTAAGGCTTTTTTCCAAGGCCTGACCTATCCTTCTGTAAAGTATCCCTCAGATCTTTTACATGGTTTACAAGAAATAACTAGCAATTTTTTTGTTGTTGTTTACGGGACTAAACTAAATGAAGTTTACTGAGGTTTTTACCAAGTTCTGACACATGAATATAAAGTTATACAGTATCAAAGGCTCAATTAGCATGGTTAGTAAGACACTGCATTTCTAAGCTCCTGCAACCTCATGGATGTCCGTTTTCTTTAGAAGCTTTAGTTCCTAAATCATCAGCGCATGTTTACTTTCATCATCTTCCTTTCTCTTAATGTGTTCTGCCTATACTAATGTAGTACATTCATTTGTCCAGCCCCCATCTACTCAGAGTCTGTGTAGTGCCAAGTGCCATTCTGAGTGCTTTCTATTCCAGAACTCCCAACCCTAATATTTCACCAGTTTTTCTTCTCCATTATTCTTAATTAAGCAGAAATGAGGGGTCCTTAACATTATCAAATGAACCCCGTTCCAAACATCTGAAACTATGCCATGTTTGTATAGACAAAACCAAACAAAATCCCCTCCAAAACCAATTTTCTAATTCTCTTAATAGTTAACAAAAAGGACACGAAGGAGGTAGTTGATGGCAATAGAGTAACTGCAAACAAAAGAGAACAAAATAAAATGGACCAATGTCTAAGGAAAAAGATTCTCACTCTGGCTTTAATAAGTAAATATACCTGCACTAGATAAGGAAAAAAGATGTTAATAAATTCTATTCAATTGTTACTACAAAGGAATGCTGGTAAATCACCTCTATGAAGAATTAAAATCAAAAGGATTAGCAGGATTAATGAATCAATTTCAGATGACAACTTTCAGCCATCTAGATGAAGCTTCTTTCGGTTCCCAGAGTGCAGTTACTCTTCTCTGTCATCTCCTTATTCCCTCCCTCATACCTTCCCCTGGCTAGCTTTACTCATCCCTCAAGTCTGAATGTCACTTCCTCCAGGAAGCATGCCCTGACACCCCCAGGTCAGGGTTGTGTCCCTCCTAGTTGTCCTCTATCATAATACAATGATCACTTTGTTAGGATAAAAGTCTGTCTCCTCTTGAGAGGCAAGAAAGCCAGTCTGATCTGAAAATATCAAAGAAGTTTACTATCAATAGATCATTAATTACAGTGATTCTAGATATCCATTATTTTTGTAAAATGCAAACTCAGAGCTACCATCCAAATGGGAACACAATACTATCCAAGATTTACATATTACATTCAAATTTACAAAATATTCCACGTCTACTACTTAATTTCACCTTCATCATAACCTTAAGTAATAGTAACTTCATTTTACAGAGAAGAAAGCTACAACTCGGGTTTGGGGCTTTTTTCAGAACCCAATATTAAATGACAGAGCCAGTCTCAACCCATGCCTTTTATGTCAACTGTTTTTTCCATTACCGACAGCACATCAGGCATTGACAACTAACCAAGGGAAAAGACAAATGAATTCTGCAAATTCATTTTCTTTTTCCTTTTGTGTTTCAGTTTTACATTTTTATATAAAATAAAAGTGTTTCTAACTTTTAGCCAGACACCCCTTTCCCAGTAGACCAAAAGAATGTCATCTCATGCCCACCAACTTTTAATGTTGGGAAAAATGCTCTACTTACTTCTACTGAAATTCAACAACTAGTTTTTGGGCTCAGCACTATGCTAGGCTCTATGGAGTACACGAAAGCATCACACAACAAGATGTCTGGCCTGAGGAGTTCACAATATCCCTGGAGGGGCAAAAATAACACTATCAATGTAAGTCAGTACTACATTATAAACTGAGTGTTTATAAGGCCAAGAAAAGTAGATGCTCAATAAGCTTAAAAGGTTTTGAGGCAATGGTTAAAAACTAAGATAAACCTTAGAAAATAGGGTTTCGATAAGCAGATGGGAGGGCAAAAGGAGAAATCATTCATACAAGACCATATTGGAAATGAAAATGGTATGCTCTTGGGGCACTACAAGGAGCCTGAATTGCAAAAAAGTTCACTTTAGGGTGGCATGGAAGATAAAGTTAGAAAAATGATAGGGAGATGACAAACTAAAGGGAGATGAATTAAGGAGCAATCAATTTTTGATCACAGAAGAAACATGAAGGAAGCAGTGACTAAGGAAAATAAGCTGAATGTGAAATGGGTTGGAATGCTTATAATACTAGAGTTAAGAGGGACAACTAAGTGGCTGATGCCACCTTTGTGAGCTCCAGACCCCCCGTGGTTATCTTATCATAGCATTCACCATGCAAACTACCATGGATAGTCTCTTTAGTTATCTGACTACTTCATTGGACTTTGGGACCCTCCATTCATTAGATTCCCCCCAACCCCCGCCACACGCTAGCACAATGCCTAGTACTAGGCAGGCACTCAATAAATGTTTGTTGAAGGAATTAATCAATCTATCTAGGTATCTGGTTATATAAAACTGGTTGGTGGAGCGGCCGAAGGAACCATTAACACAAAGGTCATTTTGAGGAATCAGTTAACAAGATGATTTCATAGGTTAAAAAAAAAATGTGATATGTGACACGTCTTGAGTGACTACTTCATGTCTGGGCACATGGGTGCAGGAAACAATAGAAAGCTTAAAGAAGAAATCTCTTAGCAAGAAAAGAATTGATCTGGATTTTGTGCACACTGAATTACCTTTGAGGTGAGATAAGAATATCCAGGTAGAAAGACTAGAAAGTAAGTCTTGGGGATATCCCACTTTTGGGAAGTGGGAGAAAAGAAGTCAGTATTAAGATGTTACAAACATACACTTGTTGAGGAAGATTTTCAGATAAAATCTACCTAGAATCTTAAATGTGCATGCTAATAAATGGACTTGATAAGTACCCACATTTACATGAGGATAAACTTTCTACTTTGCTTTCTTTGCTCTGAAAGAGATTTTTAGTGTGTCAGAGAAAAAGGGCTTGAATGTTAAAATGTACAGTGCCTACCACAGCATATGTCTAAATTAGAGCATTATAAAGGTGATGAAAACCAAGAGAAAAAGTAAACACTGTATGTTGCAATTAAATAATAGAAAAAGTTTTTAAAAAATGGGATCTAGACCTGCTGCAGAAACCATTTCAGTCAATGAAGTATCAATGTATTTATTCTAAACAGTCAAAACTAGCAACCTTTTTAACTGAAAACCTAATATCAACTAAAAACAAAATAATCTTTAAAAGTATTGAAGACTGGAGACTAAAGCTAAAAATTAATCACAGTCATGCTTTGCTTAATGACGAGGACACGTTATTTGACGACGGGGATATATCCTGAGAAATGCATCATTAGGCAATTTTGTCCTTGTGTGAACATCATAGAGTGTACTTACACCAACTAGCTAGTACAGCCAACTACAGACTTAGACTATATGATATATTTTATCGCTTGTAGGCTGCAAACCTGTACAGCATGTTACGTACTAAATAATGTA